AAGACGACGTGTGCATAGAGGCAATTAACCACGCATCAAAGCAGTCTAAACGAAGCGAAAGTAGGTGAGAAAAAAGTGTGGAAACTCGCCCCAGAAGGAGATATTTTGGGATAAAATTAAAACTGCCAAGTAGCAGGAGAATACAGATCATTCAGCTCAAATCTGATGAAAAAAAAAGCATCAGACATGCGTTTCAGCTGCACACAGACACAACCAGTTCACAGCAGAATTTTACCGGAAAGAAAAAAAGGCAACCGTATTTCTGGGTAACGAGAAAACAGCTGACCTGTGGCCAACCACAATTGTTGGGACTGACTCGTCTCCGCATATTTTTTTATGAATGGCAACAATATCTTCAATCTGACGCTCAGTTGACAGGTCCAATTCATCTGCTGTTACGGTGTTTCCGTGGCCTCGCAGATCCGGCGCCACTATCCGACACTGCGCCAAAGTGGAAAGCTCCTCCTAAAACAACAAATATGCACATATTCGCTAACACTTAGAACCAGAAGTGGCACACAGCGTGGTGCTGGTTCGTTCATCTCCCTATCTCCGCCGCCTAGAAGTTCTGCATGGCAACTAAGAAATGTTTGTCGGAAGCCTGTTTCTTCGAAAATGAAACAGCTCTTCATAGACGTGAATACGGAGTGCATTTATTAGTGGGGATAGTTGAAATGCATTACTGGGGTCAGCTCGAGTTCAAAATTTGACTTTCGACTACGAAATGGCAACTCTTTCAGTTGCTTTGACTATTGCTGAGTTGTGTCGTGGCTAGCCTACTGGCGAACTTGGCAAATACAATAAGCAAGCAAAAATATTCAATTTGTTCATAAACTGACAGCTGTGGGCAACAAGCATGAAATAATTCTACTTCTGAATTGAACTGTAAATTCTAGCAAGGCCAGTAAAGCTTCGAATAGGACAACTGCTACTACAACCTGCCATGAAGATCAACAAGATATGTTTAGATGCTCCGAATGCCTGAAGGCTAAAAGCTGAAAAAACCACTGATTAAAGCATCGCAACAAACAATTCACACACTTTAATTCAACTGCAGCACAACAAAACAATCGGTTCCAGGCTCCGTTTCAGGAAGAAGACCATTCCAAGTAAAAATTTTTTTTTGCTGAAGACGACAAAATCAAAAATCTCGTAGTACTGCTAATTGCTCAAAAATAATCCCCCACTAGCCTTTCACCTATATTCACATCGGTCTATCGTTTCCCCCTGACATTACTCTCCTTGTACTATCTGACACATGCTCACTGTATACATGACGGGTGGCAGGTTGTATTGGTGATTCCCATTCCTATTCGCATACTGCTCTCGGCCTCTTTTTACAGCTAAGCGATGAAAAAACACAAATCAAATCTAAACATTTCTTCTTGCAAATGATATTTATTCTGATCCCTTATCCCCTATTCTACTATTTCACGTTCCAGTGAGATTTACGAAGTAAAATGACTTCGGATAGAGACTATAAACATGAGTGTAATCCTCTAAAAATTGCTGTAGCTTAAAAAAATTTGCCGCCGAATGTGGTGCTTTTAAGTGGATTGAAAAGACAATTTTGATGAAAGGGAAAATGATCGCGAAAAAATTTCATCAAATTCCCCTCCAAAACTACGGCCAATATTTCTCGCAAAACTATATTGGAGTGAACTCACTTAAAACAATGGTTTTTTT